ATTGTTTAATCATTTAATATTCAAGTCAGATTGAAAAGCATTAAGAATTATGGAATTATGAGGGTTTTTTAGCTTTAAAGTTTGAAGACTTGAAAAATTTTTGCAAGAGTTTTATTTTTTTTTGGAACAAACCTTATTTTAGTAGATTGCTGTATTAAAATTCAGGATTGCCTTAGTCCAGGCTAATGTAAGACAGGCCTCAGCCCTTTTCCCCGTTCCAGGAAAGTTTCAGTGTAGTACATATCTCAGTTTTTGGGTTGAATTTCTATATTTGAAGCTTAGAATTTCAAAATTAAGAACTTAAAGAACAGAAAAGATTAGTTTGACTCTTTATTTGTGACTACTTTATTCCTGAAAAAGAATGTTTCCCAGAATTGGCTTCATTTTTATCATAGATCTTAGATAAATAAAGGGTGGGCGTGGCTTTGTGGGGGAAAAAAGTGCTCTCTCCTCTGCCTCTTGATATTTAGCTCTTACTTTAATATGTGTCCAATGCAGGTTCACTTCTTAGTCTTAGAGAACAGATTTCAAATTTTAATAAATATATGAAGATTAAAATATGTCTGAGAGTGTCAACAGTATAAAGAATATTCATGTACTATCCATGCAGATTTACCAGATCTTAACATTTTTGCCCTACTTGTGAATAAGAAAGAATTACAAATTTAATATCATCTCATTTAATTCAGGCACAGCCAGTTGGAGATTGTGATTTTAATACTCGTCTACAGTGTATAGAACGAGAAATAATAAATCCTCGACATGAAAAAATGAAGACTGGTCTCATTGACAAAACACAAGAACCATTTAGTGTCAGAAATAAGCCATTTTTTGACATCTATGCTTCAAGAAAGGTAAAGTTTACTGTTTTGTTTCCTTATAAGTGTTTATAGTATATCATAGATGAACTTGTATTTGAATTGCTATGATACTGTTCTGCCCAAACATAGGCCGCCTTGTTGCTGTGCTAAATGGGGTAAAGATTTAAGCTAGATTAATTCCTTGTTTCTCATATACATTGTCTGTATTATGGTTTTTAGAAAGCTTTGCCTAGTATAGGATTACAGAGACTGTAAAGACCCCTTTGGCCTTCTCCGACTCTTTCTGAAGGGAAACAGAGTCTGGTGCTTACTCTTTATCTAACAAAAACAATTTATGTGTATACCTACACACACATGGAAGGTTTACTTCTATTGTTGTTTTGACACATTAAAGGGATCACACTAAATGTCGGACTTTTTCCTGCTTAGCACTATGGTTTAGACACATTTCCATACTTTTTAACTGCTTCATAAGATTTGACAGTTCTGGTGTACTCAATGTTATTGTTGATGGCCTAGATTGTTTCTTTGTTTTGCTTATACAATATTTTGTTAAACATCATTGCCTGTAAGTGGATATTTCTTCAGTATAAATACCTTAGAGGTGGAGTTTCTGGCTTAAAAATTAGAGGTAGTATTAGCAACTACCCTAACTTGTCTTTCAAGTAAAGCAGTGTCATTCCCAGTAGATCAGAGTCCATTTCCGAGTTGCACCGATTCAGTGGCCGTGAGTTTATGCCCAGTACTCTCTTCCCTCCGACCCTGGGCAAGGCAGTGTTCTTTAATGAGAAAGCTAGTGTGCGTCCTAGATCCAAGCATGGTGGCTCTTTCCAAGCCCTAGGTTTTCCTGGCTTGGGGTATTTTCCATGATACTGAAACTTACCTGCCAAAGTTTATTCACTTGTAAATTGGGGTGAGAATAATATCTCCCTCTGACCAGGGCTGTTGTAGGAATTTAGTATTATTATATGTATTATGCCTTTCTGCTGTACTTGGAAATTAAAAAGTATTCTTGTAATTAACTATTAGCTTCAAGTCAAGGAAATAGAATACATTTATTTAACAATTTATTGAATGCCTGTAATGTACCATGACCTGTTCAGAGGTATTGGGAATAAACCTACAGCCATCAAGACAATTCTGACCCTATAGGGCAGAGTAGAATGGCTCCTTTTTTTTTTTTTTTTTAAACATTTTATTAGGGGCTCATACAACTGTTATCCCAATCCATACACACATCAATTGTGTAAAGCACATTTGTACATCGTTTCTCAAAACATTTTCTCTCCATTTAAACCCCCCACATTAGGTCCTCATTTTTCCCCTCCCTCCCTGCTCCCCCCTAGAATGGCTCCTTAAGGTTTCTCAGACTATGAATCCTTATAGTTCATTTGAAAATTCAATTCAGAGACCCTTTGACAGGACAATAATGAGTTTACAGAGTATTATGCAATATTTTGCCTTATTATTATTATTTTTTTTGGTGCTGGGGAAGCTTAGTACATTCTCCTCCTCCCCCTTAACCTTGAGGAATTGTTTGTTATTTTGGCTGTATAGTTTTTGAGGTGCAACTTGCTGGGAGGACTCCCTGGTTGTTTTATACCGTGGTGGGTTTATTACTTTAGCCCAGGAGATTCTCTGGTTTGGTTGATATTTCATGGGTAAGTTGTCAACAACTTTGATGGTTAGATACTTTAGTCTGGCCTCAGGTAGTAATACGAACTGAGTCAATTGACATCTCAGGAGTTGAGGATTGGCTGAACTGTGATCCATATCAGGATCAGGATATATAAATGGAGGAAATTCAGAGATTTTCATGGCTTCCTAGTTGAGTGAGAGAGAGAGAGAGAGATGCTGATTAAGAGTTGGGCTGGAAGAGAAGCAGAGCCATATGGAACTCAGGTGGTGTCAAAAGGTGCCGCCCTGGCTGTGAGCTAGACCAACCAATGGCAGAGAGGCCTGATGGCCGAGTCCTGACTGCACAGGACAGCTTAAGAGAGCTGAACAAGCTGCTAAACTGTTGTCAGCTGGGCCAGTTAACAGCAGAGTGGCCGTTGAAAGCAAAGATAGTTGAGCAAGCTGATAACTTATTGCCATTGAGTTGTTTCTGATGCATAACCACCCTATAGGACATGAAACTTTGTGAAACTATAAAACTTTGACACCCTATGAAACTTTAAATCTTTATGGGAGCAGAGCCTCATCTTTCTCCTGCAGAATGGCTGGTGGGTTTGAACTGCTGACCTGTGACTAGCAGTTCAGTGTGTAGCCCACTCTGGCGCGCCCCCCTCTCCCCCCCCAGGCTGTGAATGGGCCAGTTCGTGGTGGAGAGGCTGATTAAGCTGTTGTTAGGATAGCTGCAGTTAAGAGAATGGGACAAAGTTCTAGAATGTCTATGAGCAGGGCCAGTTAGTAACAGAGTCCAGTGACAGAGCGGCCCCAGTGGCATTGAACTGTCTGAAGTGCTAATCAAGAACTGTACCAGTAGGGAGCATTTTTGTACCAAGGGTTAACCTTTGAGAAATCTGCCCTGATTGGCTGGTTGCATCCTGAGTTTATCCTGTTATTTCCTAATTATTTTCCACATGATTCAGTAATGTGTCCTGAGTTCCATTCCAGTAAACCATTTAATTGAAAGTACAGTTCTGTGAGACACAAATTTCAGAACCTAATGGAGGACAAGAGGGGAGGAGAAAGGGAGGGTGTTGTCAGAAACAGTGGACTGACATAGCAGCTTGGAGAAATTAGAACTATGGAATATATTTAACTTCACTGTATAGGAACTAGTTTTTTTATTATCATTAAAAGATCATTTTATTGGGGGAACTTACAGCTCTTATAACAATCCATACATCAATTGTATCAACTTATTTATACATATGTTGCCATCATTATTTTCTAAACACTTTTCTATTGAGCCCTTGGTATCAGCTCCTCTTCCCCACCTCCGCCCCCGCCCTCGTGACCCCTTGATAAATGATAAATTACTATTATTTTCATATCTTAAACAGACTGCTGTCCCCTCCCCTCGTTTCTGTTGTGTAGCACACGCGTGTCTGTGTGTGTGTATGTGTTGATCATTGTGTTTGGTTCCCCCTTTCTCCCCTCCACTCCCCACTTTCCCTTACCCTCCTGGTATTGCTACTCCCTTTCCTGTTCCTGGATTCCGTGGGTTGTGAGCTCTTATCTCTTAACTGAACCAGTGTATGTGCTCCCATCCCACAGTGAAAGGCAGGACTGGGTCATGATAGTGGGGAGTCATGATAGTGAGGAACCCTCAAGGAATAATGTGTGTTTCATCAGTGCTGTACTGTGCCCCGGTTGACTCCTCCCTTCCTTGTGACCCTTCTGTGAGGGGATGTCCCATTGTCTATAGATGGGTTTGGGGTCTCTCCTTTGACCCCTCCTTGTTCTCAACAGTATGTTTTTGTTTGTTGGTTTTGGGTCTTCTGATACCTGTTACCCGATCACATTGACACCTCTTGATAGCACAGGCTGGTGTGCTTCTTCCATGTGGGCTTATCGCTACTCTGCTAGATGACCTCTTGTTTAACTTCAAGCCTTAAAGTCCCCAGACGGTATATCTTTTGATAGCCGGTCACCATCTGCTTTCTTCACATTTGCTTATGCACCCATTTGTCTTCAGTGATTGTGCCGGGAGGGTGAGCACCACAGAATTCCAGGTTGTCAGGTTGTTAGAACAAAGTGTTCCTGCGTTGAGGGAGGGCGTGAGCACAGGCCCAAAGTCCCTCCACTACCTCAGTGTATTGTCATATATATACAATATCTATTTTTGTGAATTAATATATTTACATATATACACATACCCATGCGTATACCTTTATCCATAGTTTGCTTCTTAGATGTTTCCTCTGTTTTCTTTGACTAGTTTTGCACTGACATTTATTTATGAAGTTATTTAGTCTTCATATTAGAGTTCTGCTATATTGAATAGCAAATTAAATGAAGCTTTGGATAAGGTGAAATAGAACAGTATCTCAGTTGTACAAGGAGAGCAACAGGTTCACATTGGATTCAAACTGTTCAAAACTCTTTTATTGGGTAGATACTGCCAAACTGTAGTGCCTATTAAGAATGGTTTTCATTCTTAAAAATTGATCTTTTGGCTAAATAATTTGCATTTCTTTTTGAAAATAGTTTTCCAATTGCTGTATAGACTTTTTGACGTAGAAAAAGTGTCATTTTCTGTGGTGAGCAGCCACATTTCAAATACTGTTTGAATACCTTGTACTGTAGAATGCTATGGGAGCTTCACAATTCAAGCCCTCCAGAAGTTTGGCTTATTAAGGTAGTAAAAAAATCAGTCCAAGTTTGTCTGTGAAGTAAAAGTTTTTAATGTATAGTTAACAGTAGGTCTGATCTTGACAATATATCTGGTATTAACTGGGGAAAAATAGCTCAGAGTTGAAGGATATGAAGCACTGTCATACAGTGTTTCAAATGTTCTTTGCTTGCTATCCATTGACTGGTATAGTGTTTTGATGATATTATTTGGCTGCAGAAGGGAATTCATTCCACCATGGACTTGCATTTTTTCCCTTTGTTTAGAGTTTATTTTGTTCACTTTCCCTTCTTCAGTATCTTAAAATTTAGCATGAACACATTAATTGTATTTATGTTTCATCTCCCCATTCCTTTCCATTTTCGTATTTTATCCCCCTTTTCATTTTTCTACTTTTAGCATCATTACTTTTTTAGTTATTACTATTATTAGTATTACTACTACTGTGATTAATACTGTTACTGTTTGTACTGCTGCACTGTTTCTCACTAGGATATTGGACATATCTAAAAATTTAAAGCAGACATGATTTATGATTTGTTGTTGACTCATAACATAAGCTACATACCGGTTATTTTCTTAGACTTTCTTCATTTTTCTTTAGTGTTTTTAGTGAGGTTTTTCTTTATTATCATTATTTTTTAGGTTCTCATTTTTTAAAAGATAAATGACATATGTGTTCTTTAATCATGTTATGAATGGTTTGTTTATGATATTCTTTGATTCTGTC